GAATTGAACCCACACCTGTGGCTTCCAGCCAAACAAAAGACAGGCATAGGAGTTGAACATTTACCTGAGGTAGATACACTCCTTAGAGAGAACAATCATGGGAAAAAGAAGGGCCATTTATGCACAGGGAGACAGCTCAGGGGGCAGGGGTGCATGGAGGGATGGACACAGGGAAGAGGTGACTATCGGGAGAAGTTGAAGAGGAGCTATTGCATTGTGGTGAACTGTGGTCAATGTCATGAGACAAAGTGTATGTGAACTGCTGTATGGAAAGTGAATTTGCTCTGTCAATTTCACCCAAATCACAATTTTTTAAAAAAATCCATTAATACTAGGAACATGGAATGTGTGAAGTATGAATCTAGGAAAACTGGAAGTTGTCAAAAATGAGATGGAACACATAAAGATTGATATCCTAGGCATTAGTGAGCTGAAATAGACCGGTTTTGGGCATTCTGAATCAGACAAGCTTATGATCTACTATGCCAGGAACGACAATTTAAAGAGGAATGGTGTGGCATTCATCATCACAAAGGATGTTTCAAGATCTGTCTTGAAGTACATGGCTGTCAATGATAGGATAATATCCATACACCTACAAGGAAGACCAGTTAATACGACTCTTATTCAAATTTATGCACTGATCACCAAAGCCAAAAATGAGGAAACTGAAGATTTGTATCAACTTCTGCAGTCTGAAATTGACCAAATGTGTAATCAAGATGTGTTAATTATCATTGGTGACAGGAATGCAAGAGTTGGAAACAAAGAAGAATCACCAGTAATTGGAAAATTTGGCGTTGGTGACAGAAATAACGCTGGAGATTGCATGATAGAATTTTGCAAGACCAACAACTTATTCATTGTAAACACCTTTCTCAACAACACAAATGGCAGCTATACACACGGACTTCACCAGATGAAGTACACAGAAATTGGATTGACTACATGTGTAGCAAGGGGTGGTGGAAAAGTTCAATATCTTCAGCCAAAACAAGGCCAGGAGCTAACTGTGGAACAGATCATCAATTGCTCATTTGTAAGTTCAACTGGAAGTTGAAGACAATTAAAATCAGTCCTTGAGAGCCAAAATAAGATCTTGAATATATACCTCCTGAATTCAGAGACCATCTAAAGAATAGATTTGATGCACTGTACACCAATGACTAAAAACCAGAAGAATTGTGGGATGACATCAGGAGTACCATCCATAAAGAAAGCAAGAGGTCATTAATAAGACAAAAATGGATGTGAGAAAAGACTCTGAAACTTGCACTTGAATGGAGAGTAGCTAAAGCAAATGGAAGAATGACAAGATAAAAGAGGTGAACAGAAGATTTCAAAGAGCAGCTCAAGTAGATAAAGCCAACTTGTAGAATGAAATGTACAAAGATCTGGAGTTAGAAAACCAAAAGGGAAGAACAAACTTGGCATTTCTTAAGCTGAATGAACTGAGGAAAACATTTAAGCCTTGAGTTGCAATATTGAAAGATTCTAAGG